TTCCAATGAAATAAGTTATCTGCATTTGAATCACAGGTTAAATATTCTCTTTAATAGGGCAGTGGGCATGATCTACCATTAGCAACAACAGAATTTAAGAACATAGGCAGTGCCCTGCTGGATTGGACCCCTGACCCCTGATCCAGGGGTCCAAACAGTCCAAGCAGACTGTTCTCACAGTATAACCAACTGCACAAGCGTTGGTTACAGCTCAGCGTGGCCATCAAAGCCAATAGTGACTTGGGATAATTTGCATGTTATCACAAGCACATAAACACAATCATAGACTCTTTCACAGCTGTTTCACTACTAGTTTATTCAATGGTAATACTGAGTGTATCATCCACAGTTCCATAACAATACCTTATAATACTCTGAAACTAAGAAACCTGTAGCAAAACTATTTCTGTTCATTGCAATTTTTTAAAAAACCTGCACATTTCACAACTCTTGCAGCCAAAGAAAATAAATTAAAGACCATCTCACAGGGGAAAAACAACACATGGCTTCCTAGAATAAGTGAATACATCTGTGTGGCACATCTGCCCCAAATAACTTGTTTTTGCCTCCAGTATACTTAACTTTCGTTCATCCAATATCAAGGATTTTGTCAACTTAACTTTCAGAGACATTCCATCTTTGTTTACAGTGTACTTACCAAACTGGCAAATTCAACCTGCCGCTTAGATTTTTTTGCTTTGAACTCAAGTTAAAAGCTTAAAGCTGAAGTTTTAAATCTGCTGAAGTTACCAACTGCTGAGTCTAAATCTCATGACTTTTCGTTTGACAGGATGGAATATTTTAGCCCAACAGATACAGTACTTAACATACTTGGGAGTCTCCTTTGGCCCTAAACTCCTCCTCTAGAGTCTGTTGCTCCAAGGGCAGAAGCAGAGCTAGTATTTTTACACTATAGGAACCGACTGGATTTTCAGGCTACGCTAAGCTGTGATCATTATGTCAGATTATGTCAGATTCTTTTGGCTCTTGGTCAAAATATAAAAGCTAATTTGGTCTAGGAGTTAAGGTACCTGGCCAGAAACCAGGAGACAGTCAATTCTAGCCCCCTTTAGGCATGAAGGCCAGCTGTGGTGACTTTGAACCAGTCCCTCTCTCAGCCCAACTCACCTCACAGGGTTGTTGTTGTTGTGGTGAAAATAGGAGGAGGCAATAGTATTGTGTAGCTTTGCCTAATTCATAAATGCATTTTACATTATGTAATGTATTTACTTATACATGTATTTATAAATTGGTTATTTATAAAAAATAATAAGAGTGGGATAAAAAAAAATCTAAAGAAAAACCCCAATTACGTTTTGTTGACCAAATCAGAAAAGATAGATTCAGTGAAGAGGCAAAAATAATATCAGAAAAATGACATAGGGACTTGATGTACTGTGGATACAGCCCTGAGAAAACTCATTTTAATGGGTTGCACACAAATTTGAAAAATAAATCTTTACAAATTACATGTGACTATGGCTGGATTTATGCACTAAATCATAACAGAGTTTACTTGGTGTAAAACAGGCCTGTGGTTTGAAAACCATGAATTATGCTCAGAGTAGTAAGCAACTATGGCTCATTCAACAAACCATAGTTAAGCACCATAGCTTGATGACATACTCAGCCATTTTTATGAGAGAAAATGCACCAGTATTCACAGTTTTGAATGATCTACAAATAACAGTCTGAATATTGCTCTTGCTTAAAAATTACTTTTGGAGATTAAATTTAAAATAACTTTAGTATGACTTTTCCCAGCCTGCAAATTCAATCATCTCCAGCAAGCACAACCTGAAAAATGGTGAATGGGCCCTATGGAATTTGAAGAAAAGCTCACCTAGGGAGATCAACTTGGTGAGAATTGTTTTGGTCAATGGGAATTCTCAAAGGGCTCAGTAGAGTTATTCCCAAGAATGGGATCTAAAATTATAACCTCAAGTGCAAAGCAAAGAGTTGTACACTTTGAGATACAAGGCATAACTTTATCAGCACCCAAATATGATCATTTCAGCTCAGACTAAGATGACAATGTAGTCACCACTGAGGTGACAAATTCTTAGCCTGGGATTACTCATCACATTGACCCATCATTTTTCAAAGCACAGTTGCTAAATCTAGCACTACTGAATAAATCATACCAAACAACATTATGGCTGATATATTGTGTGAATCTTGTCCTTCAAGAGAGGAGTAAGTTTTGCCCTATTTTATGATCTTTATGCCACAGTTGTTAAGCAAATCACTGCAGTTGTTAAGTGAATTGTATGCCATTAAGTGAATCTAGCTTCCCCACTCACTTTGCTTGTTGGAAGCCAGCTGGGAAGATTACAAATGGTTGATCACACAATCCTGAGGTAAAACAACAGTCACAAATACAAGCGAGTTGTCAAGTGCCCAAATTTTGATCACGTGACCATGAGGATGCTGCAACGGACATAAGTGTGAAAAACAGTCATAATTCACTTTTTTAATGCTATGGTAACTTTGAACAGTCATTAAACGAATGCTTGTAAGCTTGTTCAGATTCCCCATTGCTGTACCAGACTTAACTCTCTGAGGCTCACTGTTTTTTCCCCCACTACATCCTTCTAGTTTCAACACAGGCTGTCCCTACCTCAAGAACAAGCCGTGCAGCTTTGCAGACCACTAGAAACACAGTTGTACTGATTGCCCAAATAGCAAAAAGGAACAAACATTGCAACAGTTTCAATAATTTTCCTAATGCCTGCATTTCAGAGCACTTCCCAAGCACTGTCAAGTTAGAAAAACTGCAGTAGTAGTTGTGAACATAATGGCCACATGAAATGGCCTCAATAGGAAACTGTCTTGTACCATGCCAGATCCATGGTCCACCTGCATCCTTTGGGTAAGTTTATACATGACTCTAGTCTAAACCCTGATAACAGCTGGAACCTTAATTTAGAAGAAGTTGTGGGCCTAGCAGGGAAAAGGCCATGTCAGCTATGCAGGCAGGGCAAAATTCCCTCCCAGTTTCTAGAGTTGGCAGAGGTGCCTTTGTGTCCAAAATGGATTTATGGCACAATTTATGACAAGCACTTAGCTTTTCAATTTTTCTTCCCTCACAGTTGTACCAACAATGGGGTGGGTGGGAGCAGGGAGCTTTTAGGCCACAAGTGACTTAGTACTTGTGTGAATTAAGCTATTTGTGGCTTATTTAGAAAATGTGTTTAAAACAGATCTAACTTAACATACCATGTAATTGATACCCAACAACCCTCTGAGATTTCAGAGAGTAGCTTCTTTTGGTCCTACAGGATCTAGGGATGCCAAGGATTAAACCTGAAATAGGTAAACATCTAAACCACAATCCTTTGGTTACAGTTAGGATCATAGTTTGGCTGTTGTATCCTGTTAGATACCAGGCTAGAAATCAGGAGACTGTGAGTTCTAATCCCAGTTTAGGCATGAAAGCAGACTGGATGACTTTGGGTCAGTCATTCTCTCTCAGTCCAACCCACCTCACAGGGTTATGTTATGGAGGAAAATAGGAGGAGGAAGGAATATTAGGTATGTTTGCTGCCTTGAGTTATTTATAAAAATAATAAAGGTGGGGTAAAATAAACAAATAACATCTGCTTAGAATAGCCATAAGAAGTTGGTTTTTAGAATTAGTCTGGGGGGAAAACCAGGATGACATCAGATGGCAGCAAGGAGATTTTTTTAAAAATATATTTTTGCTCCTATTAGTGATTGCCTGATTACTGAAGATCAGTTACTACATTAGTGTGTGGAGCAATCACAGGTATTTCTCATTAAAGGAAATGCTTGCATGCTGCAGACTTAAAGATCAAGATGACCTTTTAAAAGCAGCAACAGATCCCAGATATTTCCAAATGACTAGAAGATATAAGCCATCTTCAGATAAACCAAACCTCAAGAAAACTCACAAATAGTGCAGGACAACTTGATCCTTTGGCAACTCTGCCTTTCATTTCAAGGCATTTCCTGTGTTGCATTTGAGGTTTGTGATGTTAAAAGTTCCAATGGCTCATTCACACATGAGCTCCCACAATCAATCAATCAATCAGTCAGTCAGTCAGTCAGTCAGTCAGTCAGTCTGTCTGTGAAACAAAAGGTCCAGCAGAAATCAACTAAAAGTGGTATCCGAGGTGCATTATGATCTGTGTGGCTATGAGCTATATGCCGTTTGGCATTTCCCATCTACCACTCCTTCCTACCTACCCCTTTTTCTTTTCTAGTCAACCTAACAAGCCTCCCCGGTTTCTTTAAGAGTGGAGATGACCTCAGAAATCTTACAAACTCTTGAATGCAACAACCATGGCTTGGGATCTGGACTTGACCACATTTTAGACAGCGACCGGGAAAAGGTTCTCTAATAATAAAACTTAGCAAAAATGAAGAGGTCAACCTGGGTGTAAGTCTCCGATCTTCTAATGCTTTGCTAGTTCATTCCCATTCCCTCCCCCTCCCCCAAACTGTGGATTAAGAACAGCAAGAAAATCCCCCCCCCCCCCCACTTAAAGCCAAGCAGTGAACTTCAGAGCGAAAGCACGGCGGCACCGCCGAGAAATACCGAAAGAGCGAGACTCGCTTTGCAAAAAAAATAAATGCATACATTACATCTATACTTTCTCCACCAGCAGGGGCTGCTTACAAGCGCTTCCGGAAAGACTCCAGAGGGGAAATCGAGGCTCGCTGGGAGCCCAAGGGGAGCGCGTAAGGGAGGAGATCAGCAAGAGGCTAAAACTGGGGAGGGGAGGGGAGAGAGAGAGAAAAAAAAAATCGGCACGGGGCGCACAAGAGTTTGGATGGCTCTCCCCCCTCGGCGAAAGATCTCTGTACAAGTGTGAAGGGGAGAGAAGCAAAAAAAAGAGCCAGCAATCCAGATACAACAGATCGCTAAGTTTTGAGAAGACAAGCTCCGCCGCCGCCGCCGAGTTAGTGCTTATTTGCTGCTGCTGCTGCACAACACACAACCACACACACACACACCCAGGGTGAAAAATACCCACCTAAACTTCTCCGCGCTCTTTCCTTCCGTCTGGAGCCATTCAGAGAGTCTGCCCACAGCCAGGGCTCTTCCCCCCCAGATGTTTATGGCAAGCCAGCGGGCCCGATGTGTTGTCAGCTGCCTGTTAACCCTTTCGGCCTCCACGGGGCAGGGCGAAGGGAGAAGGCGAGAGACCGCCGGCCCCACCCTTCGGGAGCCCCTTCCAACCAAGCCTGCCTTCCCTCCTCGCTGGCCCTGCGCTTGGGGTCAACCCAGGAAAAAAAGGGGAAGGGGCGGGGAGAGGCCGGGGAAGGGAGCCCTCCACTTCTTCTCCTTCTTCTTCTTCCCCTGGCGGCGGTTTTGCGCGGGGCTGCCTGCCTCCCAGGCTCCCGACTTCCAAAAGGGGGGAAAAAGGGAGGAAACAACGCCCGTGCTGCAGCCGGGACCTTTCGGCCGGAGGGGCGGGGAGTTGTGCGCGGACTTTGCCAAGCATCTCCTCTTCTATACCAGGAAAAGGAAGGATGGGCTCCTTCTGAGCTGGCTCTGCCTTAGGATACACTCGCTTTCCCAGTTACACGGGTTTGATTCTCAGCCACGTCGTCGTCTTCTCCCCATTTCCGCTTTAAGGAGCAAGCAGGCCCGGTATGGGCGAGAAACGCTCTCCTTACCCGAAGCAATTGCCCTCACACGGCCCCCCTTTGCCCCGTGGCTGCTGCAGCTGGAAACGCGGCCTGTCGTTTTTGGCAGCGCCGACCGCCTCTCTGGAGCAAAGCCGAATCGGCCGGGTGGAAAAGCCTTCGCTTTGGGGGAGCACACCAGTAACAAGAAGGAACGATGGCTTTGGATATAAGGAGTTAAGTGACTTTCCAAACAGGCCTCAGGGAAAAGAAAAGGGGGTTACTAATACAGGTAGTCTTCGATTTACAACAGTTCATTTAATGACCGAAGTTGCAGCAGCACTGAAAAAAGTAACATATGACTATTTTTCCACAGTTGCAACCTTTCCAGCCTCCCCATGATCATGTGATCAAAATTCAGATGCTTGGCAACTGTTCGTGTGTTCATCTTTTGCCACGTCCTGATAAGCAAAGTTGGTGGGGAAGCCAGATTCACTTAACAACCGGGTTACTAACTCAATAATTGCAGTGATTCGCTTAACAAATGTGGCATGAAAAGTCGTAAAATGAGGCAAAACTCACTTAACAAATAGCAACATAAAATTCTGGGCTCAATTGTGATAGTAAATTGAGGAATACCTGTACAACATAACAAAAAGAAAGGAAGGTGTGTTTGTTCGGGTGATGGATTTGTGGATTTTGTTTGATCTTTGCTGCAGTTTGGGATACACAGGATTTTTGATAACCCAAACCAGACTTGGTGCCATCTTTGAAATGCAAAAAAATAATACAAAATACACTGCAAAGTTGCCCAGTTGTTTTCTTTCAAGCAGCTTCCCTCAACAAAACCCATTGCAAATCAAGAAATGAGTTGACCGGAGTAGGCAGTATTGGTGTGGTTTGTCCGTGCTTGTTTTTAATCCTTTGCTGAACGTTTAATCATGGTTTCAGAGCCAGTTTGATGTAATGATCAAAGACTAAAAACTGGAAGACCATGAATAATGCTACCTTTGGTCTAAAGGCAGCTGGGTGATTTTGGGCCTGACACACACACACACACTCAACCCTAGGAAGCAGGCAAGGATAAACCATTTCTAAATTATTTCCAAGAAAATACTTCAGGAATTAGTAGGAGTAAAGACTGATCAGAGGCAGAAAAAGCATGCACAATTGGTTTGATTCACACATAAGGCACAATCTTCAGGAAGCAAGTGCTGCACTTGAACTTGAAATGGCACACAAAAGACTACATCTCAGTGTGTGGGAAACTAGCTACTATAGACAGTATAATTTACAATTACATTTAGATTTAAACTTAAATTAATATACAGTTGATAGGATTGCTCAATAGCATTCAGTAGGCTTTTGTAATTTGGTGGGACCCTTAAAGGGACACATCCAAAATTGCTAAGGGAGATGGTACCCCTGCCATAAATTGTGGTTCACAAACTAGAGTGTTTCTATTCTATACTAGGCTACTCCCTTCTAATCCTCAAAATAGCACAAAAGATTGCCAATTGGTGTTGCCATTAGAGAATCTGCTATAACAAAAAGCATCACACTAAATAGGAAGGGACTTTGGAAATGCAGCTGTTTCAAAAACCATGTTTGTGTGGCACACTGAATCACATCCTAGTCAACCACACATTTTATTGGTTAGAATTGCTTTAACCCAGCTGGTGGTGTTAGTTTAGATCCAGTTTTTATAAATCAAGAACACTGGGCTAATTGAATAAACCATAGCTATTTGGCATGAAAATAAGAGCTTGCTTTCTTTGTAAAAGGAATTTAAAAATGAAAATATGAAACAATAGTTCACTAATGTATTACATAAAAGATTATACTGTCCTGAGGAAGAAACTCAATAATATCACCTTGATTTTATTTAGTATGAGATGAGAGACAGGAAACTTGGAAAAGTTTTCAAGATTCAGTTATTCTATCCTACAACAATAATATCGCTTTTCAGAAATCCCATTGGTGTCTGTCTTGATCTGGTCTATATCAAAAGGCTAGCCTCAATCTTAAAAACCTGTTGAAGTTTTTATGTTCCGTATTACAATAAACATTGTCAAGGTGAGGTTATTTTGAGTTTCTTCAGCTTATCACTTTTTTCCAATAGATACTTCCTCTTTGTGCTGGAAACTAACTACTGAATTTGGCTAATGCAAATGGTGAAAATTTCATTTGGTTTGTTTGTTTTTTAAATAAAACCTACACTTTGTACTTTATGCCACTATAATAAACACTTCAAGCATAGATCTTGTCTTTGAGATGCATTCACTTGATATTCATAAAATGACTAAATAAATGCCTTTATGCATAAACATACAGCAGCTCTAAATATAGAATTCAGCCTCTTAAAGTTGATGGTTATAGCCCAATCTTTCTTGCTGCCTCTGCATGTCTTGCCACTTCCTGGTTATAGGATTTTAACAACATTTACACATTTCCCTATAAAAAATGACAAAGCACATGAGGATTTTTATTCCTTATTTTCTTTTGTTTTATTGGCTTGTTTCTGGGTTTAATGTGGTACTCTGAGAGGAAAATCAGGGTTAACATTTTAAGACTAGCCCCTTGAACTACTATCTGCTGTCAGGCTGGTATTCATATTGGTATTTCAAAGATGCCCAAGTCCTTTAATTGACCACATATCACTCTGCCTCCATCCTGCCTTCCTTTTGGGAGAGGGAGGGTTAAGTGGGACACAATTAATAGTAGAAAACCCTTAATCCAGGGCTCTTTTTTAGCAAACAAAAGAATCTTGGTTAAAAATGATGGCTTTAAAACTAGACAATGAATGTTCACTGGCATTATTCGGTTTTTTTGCTATGCAAGGGGAAAGATAAAAGAGATGAAACCTTTTCTTGTTCCTTTAACAGCTGCAAGGGAGGTAGATATTTAGCAGCTGTAACTTTCCTGGTATGGAAATGATGCAGCCCTGGGAAGTTTCAGCTGTGGAGTTTGGATACACCTGCTACCCCACCCTTCTCAGCTGCTAAAGGCCCAAGATCTTTGCCAGGAGGAAAAAAAATAAAATAAATGGTAGCAATGTGCTTTGTCCAGCTGCTCTCTGAAATTGCTAAGAGCTAGCCGTTTACGGAGGAAGTTGATCCTCATTATTTCCTGCCAAGTCCGACAGTTGCAGATTTATATAACACATCTCTCCTTTGTGCTTCACATCACTTAATCTGGGAAAGAAAAAAAAAAGAATGACCATCTTTGTTTTATTTTATTTTGATTGCATTTGATATTCTCAAATTATTTATAACCTGCTTTTCTAAGCAAAAAGCGTCTTCAAACACCAACAACCAGTGTTTGTGTCATCAAACAAAAATAGCTTTATATAAAGACAGTAGCTGGGGCAAACCCCAGTTGTGTCCAATTGCTGACAAAATGGGATGTGCCCCTGAGAAAATCCTCTGAGGCCCATCTCCAAGTCTAGTTTGAACCCTGGTGTGTGTATGTGTGTGTGTGTTTTACAGCAGATCTTTAAAGGAGGAACACTGGACATACCCTAAGGCCTAAGCAGTTTATGTATGATCTGTTCCACACAGCTACAAACAGGGATCAGGCTTAGTTCAGAGTTCTTTATGGCAGCTATAATCAGAGTTCCATATTTCCAGTTGTGCCAGCTGAGTTTTCAATTGTTTAGTTTTAACTATCCACTGAAGGCAATTAAGGGAGGGGCTCCTTTTATGGGAGTTGTCCTGTATCAGCAATTACAAATGCAGGAAATCACACTTAGAATTCTTTATAGCAGCTATAAATTTTGCTATTGTGCAAAAATTCAGGCAAAACAAGTTTAATTCAGAAGCCCAAATTCCAGTGACACATTTCCAGGATGTTCAGTGCAAGGTTGAAACTCTTTGCCAACAAAAGTCACACTCGAATCCTTCTTCTGTAGAATATGCTACATCATATTGCATCATTCTCACGCCACATGGTACTTGTCTGAATCTTTTGCATGATGTTATCATGACAGTATTAATTCATTCAATTTCTGCCCTGCCTCTCTCACCTAGGTGGCTGGGCAGTTTACAACATCAACTCTGCACTTTTTACAATCTCTTGGTAGTATCACTTGCTCCCTTTGTGGATACCCTTAAGGTCAGACCATCCACGCTGATGGAGTAAACAAAACACAGATTGTCAGATGATGGGAAGAAACAGTGGTTGGACTGTAGATTTGTATTCTCTTATGCTAATTGGGAAAAGCCTTGTGATGTCTCAAGTATAGGCCTTTCTTGTTCATGTTCCGTGGTTTCATTTTGGCTAGTATTTGAAAGGGAGGCCTCTTATATACAAAAAACATTCTTTATTCTGTTATCATTTTAAAATTATTATTTTACTGAGGTTATGGTTATGTTATGTAGCTATATATATATATACAAACTAAAAATAGGCAGTTTTGATAAGCGCACAGTTCACTCAAGAACAATTTGAGACTGGCTTTAAGTTAAAATTATTTACTCATAATAACCCTTTTCTGGTTTTCTCCTTCCTCATCAACAGTATTCAGTGGCAGAACAGGATTTACTGTGTTAGGTTAATTGGGGGGGGGGGGGAAACCCTTTTCACTAACATTCCCCCCGCCCCCTGCAGTCTAACACAGCAGAGCAAAAATCAAAGAAACAGATTGGCTTTGAGGATGATAGATGAAAAGGCAGAAACTGGCCAGGAAAGAAAAATAACAAAACATTCAATTATGTCGATATTGTTGATTTATTCATAGATTAAGGACAGTTTCTTCCATCATATTTGTAGCATCAAGTATACTTGCAGTAGTTTTTTTTTTTTTTTAATCTAATACATATTAAACAGTATTTGAA